ACACACACACACACACACACACACACACACACACACACACACAACACACACACACACACACACACACACACACACACACACACACACACTCACACATGTATACACACACGTATATATAAATGTGTGTGTGTGTATATATATATATATATATATATATATATCACGCTACACGTACAACGCGACTTGCAAGGCGCGCATCTTCTTAATCGTAATTCTTCTCGATGAATAAAAACTTGTATATTAAAAATATGGGCGGATTTAAATATCATGTCGTTAATGTTTCTCCCTCTCTCTTTCTCTATCTCTATCGGTGGGAGAGGTAACTGGAGTTTAGAGTTCATAGTACAGTTAAAGAACCTTGCCATGTATGAGTACTCGAACTATATTGAGAGCTATTTCGACAAGCGAACAAATGCACGCGTCTACTACCGTAATAAAAACCGAATAACGTTTCGCATGGCATAAACTCCGACTCGGACTCTAAAGTCCGAAGCCCGTCTCTAATGTGATTTCGGCTACAGGCGTCATGGCGTCTAACTGTTCACGTTATGTTAAACAGTGCGAATAGGCTCTTAATATAATTATATATATATATATATATTATATATATATATATACATATATATATATACTAATAGCTTCGCTAATTTCAGTTCGTTTGAGCAGCGCTGACGGGGGTGTGGTGGGGATATAGGGTGTAAGTAGTACGGTAGGCTTGGTAGAGTGGAGGTGGGATGAGCTGTTAGAGCTTCTCAGAGGCTTTTTGCTTCTCCATCATGATGTCGTCGACGGCGTCCGTCTCCGTGGTTCTGCGTGCGCGCATGTACATGGTGAGGCAGAGCAGCGCAGACACGAGTAAGATGCCGCCCATGATCGCCATGCCCCATGCGAAGCCAGCCCTCGTAATGCACATGCCCTGCTGAGTAGCAAACCGCCTGCCGAGTTCGAAACCTATAACAAATAACATATAATCTAACCATAATGTAGATGGCGCCAACCGTATGGGCTTGCCTATCCCTGCTCTCGGCATGCGCACATACATATATATTCGCATTCCCTCACACGCGTACACACGCGCACGCAAACACACACGCGCGAGAACATGCATGTCAATTAATGGATGAATGTTATGGTATACACGTACTGTCAGATAGAGGCTCCTCGCCAGGAAGTATCACCGTCAGTGCCCTAAACAGCTCTCTCTGGTCAACTGTCGATGAGTTAGTGGCGCTCGCTGCTGTACTGGTGGCATTGATTACTGGTGGCTCCACAGTGACCGAGCTGTTACCCGACACGGATCTCTTAAGCCGATTATTTTGACTGTAACCGTCATTGCTGCTCCCGTAGACATCGTTGCGGCACGACTGCTTCTGCAGGAACAAAACACTCGCGATAGTACATGAAGATCGCATTGATTTTTTCATCACTTAATAACGTAATGCGCTGTTTTGGACACGGGTTGCATGTTTGTGGGGTGGGTCGATATAGGTGTATTTTTGGTTGAAAACATTAGAGAGATTACAAAACTGCATTCTCGTTATAAACAGTCATAGTTGTTACTAGCATTAACAGTTTATCTATCATGAAAAATGGTAGTTTCCATATGCTGAGTTTATAGCTGTCCGGGGAGTTTGTATACTCTACTTTATCAAACTTCAGGCGGCACCAGTAGCTTTATACACACGCATTATACATCAATGCCAATTCGGTTCTGAAAAATGAGTGTGCTGACATCTGAACACATAACACGGATCCATTGGGTATACGCGGATAATGGGAATTATACGTATTAATACTAATGCTCCAGTGTGTACGTGTAAAATAAACGCAATGGATAGAAACATTCTTGGTGTCTGCCTGTCATATACATATAATATGGAGATGATGTATAGCAAGACATGAACTGAGCATCCATGTCGAATAGCGACACCTTACCGTCGTGATACCAGAGTGCGTTAATACCCTACAGCAACGTAAGTCTTTGCACATAGAGTAGGATAATTCTCTCCCAAGAAGATGAATAAATTAGATGTAGGATCATAGCACAGGTGCACGACCATGTTAATGCCATGGGTAAGATAGTTTCCATGGTGCACCAACCAACGAAAATACTCGACATATACGCAATTCTATGTATATAGCTATACGACAAAACTATGCAAGTCTTTGCGTTTGTCGTCGGATACTCTTCCCAGGGCATGATAATATTCTGCAGGGCACTTCATTCACTCATAAAAAAAACTATAATACTCTGGGGAAGGTGTGTCTCTGCATCTTGATTCAGATACGGGAATCTTCCCTATATGAAAGAAAAGGGGAAAAGAAAAAGAAATAAAGAAGAGGAAGAAGAAGAGGCAGAAGCAAAAGAAGATGATGGTGGTGGTGATGAAGAAGAAGAAAAAAAAAGAAGAAAAAAAAGAAGAAGAAGAGGAGTGCGAAGAAGAGGAAACGCAGTACATTTCTATCTGAGGCTGAGTGAAGAGTCGCTTACCGTCGAGCACTGTCCTGAGCAGACTTCAATGCTACACTGAAAGTATACGTTGTAGCGATCGGGGAACTTGAAAGCCTTGAACGTAGTGTAGATATTCTTCTCCGCGTTGTAACCACTTTCGCTTTGCTGCAGCTCACTAATGAAGTCCTTGTTTGTCGAACACCTGTATGAAAGCCGCAGACATGTTGACGTGTGATTGTTGTTGTACCGAAGCTAACTCGTTTCACGCAGGCATCATTGTTAGCTGATTATTGTATGCGTAATACACGGACCATGTCTATGTAGATTGCGCCTGGCAACATTCAAAGTCACATAAGACTCGTCTGCTATGTGTCTCGGTGGACTATATCGGTTTTGCAACCAGGAACTCTGATTAATATGTTGCTGTCGCTGTTGGCGCAGAATTAACAGGAATTACGGCAGCGCTAAAACCGCACCTGATCGCGCGCGTGAGCTAATAACATGCGTTTGAGACGATTGCAACAAAGAAATCAAAGATCATTTAATCTTTCTTTTTCGGTATCACCCGCAGCCTGGTGAAAAGAACTGGTTAGCGTACCCATCAGCGTCGATGAGAAGCACCTTGTAGTAACCCGTGCCGTCGTGAGCGAAACAGTTGGTTACTGACACGTCATGCTCGTCTGCATATAGATAAATTATATACATGATATACATATAGTAATTATATAGTGTAAAACTAAATGTAGAATTCTTCTTCTTTTTTCAACTATAACAACTGAATATCGTGCAACCTAAAAACTTTTCTACTATATATATATATTCGTATAGTACCATATATATATAATATATATATATATATATATATATATACGGTATTATACGAATAAAGCCAGCCAATCTATATTAGTTCTACGGCAAGGTTGGTACGGGCATGCGCATAGAACGTAGATGAAAGCAGTACTAGATATAGTATAAATATTATATATAGTATAAATATAAATATAAATTTAGAATAAATATAAAGTAAAATTCCCATAGGTTATGCCGCGTGCAAGCGCTCTGTAGTGTAACCGTGTTGTCTGAATACGACGGACGATTCGAGAGCCATCTAGCGAGCAACAACTTAATCTCCGAAAGTGAACATATCGTCTGCACGACGACGATATCATACTGGAGCTCATCGATTGTCGCTACGCTTGCGTACTTACACGATGGTTTGTAGTAAACGATTAGCGACGCGTACTGGCCCACGACTAGGCCCGTCGTCGGTGAACCAGACGGGTCGTGACCGTCTACGACCTTCAAATAGACGTTCGGCATTTCCTCCTTCGTGGCGCGAATTCTGGGGAAGCAGAAACAAAGCGTCAGCTAGTTTTCGCGATTTAGTCAAATTATAAGCTTTAACTAGTTTGTGTTGTGTAGTTTGTGTAACTAGTTATTTAGCGTTAATAATCCGCCCTCAGGTAATCACGTGATACTCCATTGGCGCTTGTTGCGCGTCATAAATTAAACGTTCGCACGATGTCGCCACCGGAAAGTATTTTCGCTAGCAGTAATGCCGATATGAATTAACGAAAAACGGACCCTGATCAATGGTCCTTCTTCTTTCTATCGCGACCTTTTGACGAGCAATTATTATATTTTTGTTGGACTACTTCCGCCTGTAAGCCCACATGCGTGCCTAACAAATACTGATTGGTGCGGGAATTATGCGCCATATCCGGTGTGAACAATGTGGATACCTGTTGAGCCTATAGCCAAATCGAACTATTTTTAAAGCTGCCTGACATCATGAACCTTGTACGGAAATGACAGTCTCAGTTAAAATTGCCATGGAGGTTGAGAATTTATACGTATTTAGAAATGGTGCATAAATCCTCAAAAGATTACCATATAGTAATATTAAATTATACAATAGCGTTACCCAATATCCCTTCACTCGAAACTAAAACAATCATTACAAGCTAATAAAACGACATTATTATTCAAATGTTATCAATAGAAGACCGTGCGTCGTTCCTACTAGAAAGGGACTATATAAAGGGACTCTAGTTCCTACACGCTAGACTTACGGTTGAGCGTCCTGGTTACCATAGCCACCGCGTCTGCCGCTATGTGTCTGCTGGGTTGGCTGGGGCTTTGCTTGATCTTCGATTGAACAGAAGATGGCGTATGCTCTGTCGGATGACTCTAGTACTCCATATCCTCCATTCTCCATCACAACTAATGTGTTATGATAGCTGTATGTCTGCGAATAGCTCGACTCGTAGCCACCCTAAACAAATAGCGGCGTCATGCACTTGCATACACATACAGGCCCGTAGCCGAGGGGGGGGGGTTCGGGGGGTTCGATACGAACGGAGCCGGAGGGGCACGTTAGGCATATATGGGAGTCGAAGGTGCGTGGCGCCCCGCCCGAAGCCGAAACGAGCCCCCAAGCAAAAAAATTTTTTTTTTTTTTAAATTTGCAAGAATTTCACCTGCAGTCGCCTCCATTTAGTGTAATAATTGCAAAATCTCCATCGGTGCTTGGCTCCCTCGCCTGGTCGCTTTCGCGCCGAGCAGGGCGGGTGTACAGGGGGGGGCCCAGGGAGTCCGGACCCCCCCCTTGCTCGCGCAGAAAAGGCATTGAGGGGGTATAATTTTAAAATTTTCTGGGGGAGGGCCCCAAGACCCCCCATCGCCGCGTGCTCCAACTATGGGTTAGCGGTTAGCCACCCTGGTACAAAATCCAGTACACGCCCCTGCCGAGCAAATTGCCAACATTGAAAAACGAACCCCCCCCCCCCAATAGAAAGCTGGCTACGGCCTGCACATACACACGGAAACGCGACGCACGGCAAACACGTACGCATGCGAATGCCCACACAAATATATCTGGATACATATGGGTGTGAAGTAAACATGCTTCCCTACATTTATTTGGCATATAGAGGACTCGAGAAAAGATGATATGCTGAAGTTATTTATATGAAGAAGATATTACATGTCGTTCTAGCACGCAGTAAGTGAATTAAGCCATGCGCTTACCTTCTTAACATCGACGCTCTCCTGTGTTCCGCATCCGTCCAGGGGTAGTGTAAAGCTGATGTGGTAGGATCCGTCTCCTTGCACTGAGCACATGTATATACCGTAGTAGCCCTTAGCGAACACCTTGCCGTAGAAGCTCTGCTTAAATGTCAGCTCCACCGTGAATGTTTTGGCGTCGCTATCGCATTTTGTTTTTATATCTAGAATTGTCAAACGTTACAAATTAGTAAACAAGTAACGAAACAAGCAACATCGCGCTCGTAATCAATCGTACCTGCTATGGCGGAAGTAAAGTAAGAAGTTAATAGAAACATGTTTATCGTCAAGATCTAGCTCTATTGCCCTGATCACACTGTACGGTGCGGAAACAAACAAACAGCTCGGTAGCAGGCATGAATGCCCCCTTATTCTCATCGCTATCTAAATACATCTGTTGCTTCTAGTTGGGGATATTTTTTACACGGAACCCCTGCCGTGCACTCACCTACGACCTCATTTCCGTAGCTGCTCGACCGCTGTCCCTTTTGGCTGTTGTCGACAACATTACCGCCCTGGATTTCATGGCCGATGTTCTGGCTGCCGTAACCGCTGCTACCGTAACCGCTGTTACCGTAGGCGCCACCGCCGTTGCTGCCGTAACCGCTGCTACCGTAACCGCTGTTACCGTAGTCGCCACCGCCGTTGCTGCCGTAACCGCTGCTACCGTAACCGCTGCTGCCGTAACCGTCGTTACCGTAACTACTGTAGTCACTTTGGCCGATGTCGCTGCCGCCGTAGCCACTGTTGCCGCCGCCACCGCCGCCGTAGTCACCACCGCCACCGCCGCCGTAGTCACCGCCGCTGTATTCACCGCCGCCGTAATCACCGCCACCGTAGCTGATTATTTCCTCGCCGCCGTAGCTGATGTCCTGGCTGCCGTGGCCACCGCCGCCATCGCCACCGCCGCCGTAGCCACCACCGCCATAGCCACCGCCGCCGTGGCCACCGCCGCCATCGCCACCGCCGCCGTAGTCACCGCCACCATAGCCACCGCCGCCGTGACCACCGCGGCCAGAGCCACCGCGGCCATAGCCACCGCCGCCGTGGCCACCGCGGCCATAGCCACCGCGGCCATAGCCACCGCCGCCATCGCCACCGCCGCCGTGGCCACCGCCGCCATAGCCACCGCCGCCATAGCCACCGCCGCCATCGCCACCGCCGCCGTGGCCACCGCGGCCATAGCCACCGCGGCCATAGCCACCGCCGCCGTAGCTTCCGTCCTCGCCTCCGTAGCCGCCTTCGTTATGACCACCGTCGCCACCACCATGGCCGCTTCCGTGGTCGCCCCCGTAGCCCCCTCCCTTACTCTGCCCGCAGTCGTAGCCGTAGCAAGGGCTGGGTGTGTGGAACACGAAGTGATCCGTGTACGTGCTTTCGTATAGATCCTCGTACGGTATCGTGTGACGCTTGAAGTAGACGTACGGACTGTGCGTCGTCGTTGTGTGCTTGTGTAGGTAGCCGTAGTAGTACGAGGGTGCGTAGCCGTAACCGCCTTGTCCGCCATGGCTACCGTGGCCACCGGCGGCGAAACCCTGCCCCGTCTGACGATGGAGAGATCGTAAGCGCGAGAAATAATACAACATAAAATTGTACAAATTTGCGAATACATTTTTATCATTACCTTTCGGTCAAGCGTCGAAATGATTTTTTTAGATAATCATGCAGTCTGATGGATGAGCATCTATTTGTTCAAGGTATTTAACTAGTTTTCACGATAAAGCTCTTGGTTTATTAGTGAGAACTCTCGGTGTACTAACGATATGTTGTTTATATACTCACCACGCAACAGAGTAGAAGAAGCGCGAGCGTACTCGTCATGTCTCCGTTTACTCAGTTGCTTCCTTCCAATTATTTCTGTAAACAACAAGGCAACAATGATTACTATGCGTGCGAAATTGAAACGGTACGTACCCTCACTGCAGACCGCCACGATAGATGATTATTATGTCTGGACTCGTTTCCGATTTCCCACTTTCTAATTATTTGTCATTAACTTCGAACGCGTCAATTTGTCACGTGTCATCATTTCGGCACGTGACAATTCGGCGCGATGACTCAGTCACTGTCGTACAGGTGATATACTATATCCCCGTGCTTCGAAGAATAGCCACTTCCGTACTTGAGGCACACGTCGGAATCCGTTGCGTCTTGTAGCGAGTAAATAGCGGGTACGCTTATATGCGTGAGCACGATATTCCTACTCCTATAAGTATGAACACACGCATGCACACGAATGCAGTCTCATCATCACCTGCCACTTCTTACTGTGGAAGCCGATCTCAGTTCCAATGTCCCTGTATGATGCTAAGCGATAAATGTTGTTCGTCTAGATTCTATCTTTGTAGGAAGTCAATCTTTGTGCAGCTGTGATTACGGCTGGACCGTTGTCTGACCGACTCGCTCGTTCGACCGTCTGATGAGGCACTAGCATCGAACTAATTTTCATCAGCATGTCGTCATGTATCCCCCCACCTGCGAACCAGCCCATTACCTCGCTTGTTCCAGTTTGCGAGCTCACGCCGAGTTAAATCCCGGTTATGCTGACATTTGCCTTGCTCCATCAGCCACTGCAGAACTAAACCGACGGCTTTGATGAGGCATTAGAGAAGATAATTACTTGCTCTCGACCATGTTGGCTGCGATGTGCCAGTCGGGGACTAGCCGTGTGCCCAGCATACAGACAATGAAGGTCTTGTAACGTTGCGGGTTCCCCCTTGTGTTGCCCCTTTATTCATTATGAAACGACAACGATTTCTTTTGATAGTGCCTTGTAGGAATCGACGTTGACCTGTGGCAGGTAATGAGTTTGGGGTTGTTGGTGGCGTAGTAGTATTGATGTTCTAACCTGGTTTATGAATCGTAAATCGCTTGGCACAAATTAACAAGAAGTACACACATTTCACAGTTTTGCGGCATAGTGCGCAGTGTGCCATGAGATGAGAGAGACAAAAATAATACACGAAGAAGGAAAAGAAATACACATAGTGGAAAAGATTTTTTTTTAAAGACACGATCGAGATCGATGTAATTTTAGTGTATGGAATCATCAGGCAAACAATGTCTAATGGTAAACTGTTGAAAAACCCATTATTACGGGATATAACTCGCAAACTTCAACCTTTTCTTCAACTTCAACTTGTCTAATACCACATATACTCAGCAAATGCTATCAGGTTATCTGCCAGCCGAGAGCCGGTCCTTATTCCGCAAGGACGTCCGCCGTAAAATTACACAAACCTTCGCCTAACATCCACGTCATTATATCGTAGTCAACTTTTATGTGCAAAAAACTCCTCTACAATAGGGAACGAGAAACAGGGGCAGACAGAAAGAGGTGGAGGGAGGTAAAGAAGAAGGAAGAGAGAGGTGAGGAGAGACAGATAGCAACAGGCAGACAGAGATAGAGAGAAAGAGAGCGAGAGAAAGAGAGAGAGAGAGAGAGAGAGCGACCGGCAGATACAGAAGTAGAGCTAGAGACGGAGAGGGTTGTACAGAGAGAAACAGAGACGGGGAGTGAGAGCGCGCGAGTCCCAACAAACATTATTATGTCGTAGTGACTTGATTGCTGCACTTAATTATTACTTCCTGCGTGTAAGCACGGTGCATTTACTATAATATGATGTGATACTCGTGATTACCGACTCGCTATCAATAGACACAAATCACGCCACACCTCCGCAACGGTTATTGTAGAGTAGACAGAAGTCGAATTGTGCGCCGAGCTTTGCATGAACCGCACTTATTGTACCGGATTACCTAATCTCTTCCGCTATCGGAAGGCTGCTTAAACGTTGCTCGCGTACGTGATACCGAAAAAATGCAGAAATCAATATCTAATCTGTGAAATCTAACTAGGAAGTAAAGAAAATACGCGCGACATTACTTTCGTTGGTGAGAGCGCCTGCGATTAAATACAGACGAAGCGTAGGGCGCGGGACGTCACAAACGTATCGCGCGCTCCGCTGTGCGTGTCGATAAACTTGCACCAAAGGCATTATGGATAATGGACTAGAAATAAAGTTACACGATACTTGATCTCTGCTCGCGTCTGTAACAGGCCACGAGACGGGCAATGGTATACCCGCAGTTCTCGCGCTACGTCCGCCATCCGTGAGAAGGGGGAAGGTGGAAAAGAGTAAAACTACACTCTTTATTATAACTCAATTCATGATAAATATATATGCAATACTTGTTATTTTATTCTAAAAAATGACACGTTCGAATACAGTTCGAACACCACCGGGTAATATGTTGTGTACACGTGATGATAGCTAACAATCTATCTGAGAGGATCGACATTTACCTATTAATAAATGTAGCGTCATTCCACATCACGCGCCGATCAGAGAGGCAAATAAATAATCGGTAAATATATGGTGCGATGAAATTTTAAAAGCAATTATTGACATGAAGTAAAAGACTGATTATTGTGAAAACGCCTTTGTAGATGGAATCCGTTGTACGATGTTACCTATTATATTTTCTCATGTATTATATATTGTATATTTTCTTTCTCCGAAACTATATATATGAATAATGTAATAATATATATATATATATATATGAAGAGCTTATTTGCAAAACTGCCTATGTCCATTTTGGAGAAATGAGAGAAAACGACAAAAACAACTATTTTACAATCATTTACATTGTTTTCCGCATTGGTTAAAATTTGCTGATAGATATAGGCTATTTTGCAACTAAAGGTTTTTGGATGTAAGCTAAACATGATTTATAATGGGTCTTTTAAGCATGATGTAGGCCGTTTTTCAAGGCTAATCATGGACTTATTTTGCTATAATCTCGAATCCAATTAGGTTGTACTAGAATGTAGAAATAATACGGAAATCTGCATGACTATAAGAGCGACCTTAATTATCATGCGATGAAGTTCTTTCCTTCTTAGCTACTTCCTGACTAGGATGAGAGCTTTTGCGGGCATGTGTGTCGATATAACTGTGTCACGAGCGTAACTCTTCCTAGGACGAACAGATCTTGGAACGCGAGCGCGATTAACTACAGAACTACGCGAAATTACCGGCAGCAATTTGATAGTGGGACCGGTACTTAGACAAACACGATGAGCAGGTGAAAAAGCGACCCGCTCGCGTCGCTCTAGCGACCGGTTCAGAAAGCACCCGGATAGGCAAACATTGTCGGAGCTCATGCGTACGCGACACGATGTCACACTCCCGACCGATATCATGTGCACGTAAGCCGCTTGTCAGCCCTCGCAAGGTATGCTAACGTGTTGCCGCACTTTATAAGCATTTACACGAAGATCTAAGTATTGAGATAGAGAGAGATAGAGAGAGAGAGAGAGAGAGAGAGAGAGAAAGAGAGAGAAAAAAATTGCACGACTCAGAACAAGCGACGTTTGACAGTTGAGACGCACTCTCACACGGCGTCTATGAACGGATCGCATTGTGCTCATCAATTTAATGCTAATGTCGTTGATCTAGTTTTGCGATGCTAACAAGCCGGGGTTTGTAGTGATACGCATAGCGGCGAAGTGGGAAATGTAGCGACCTAGCCCTGCTATCGATAATTTATCTGGGTTAGTCTCTAATGTTCATCACAGACACGCGGAACCGTTTCCGGGTCGTTGTTTTTGCAATAACCCCGACTCGGGTGGCACCCCGAATCAGATCGCGTTCGCAACTACGCGACTAACCCGTGGAGTAATTACTGAGCTTACTGAACGATTTAATCCTTTGCCGAATTTAGACACCGAGCGAACCACCGATCTGCAACGAACCACGCGGTACACGCACATATATTGGCTTATGCAATTGGACATAGCTTGTTGCATTTGCACGCTCCAAAAATAAGCGTAGATCGAGGCATGTACTTTTATGATCATACACGATATACGAAGTATCAAAACTAATAACCTCGGTTATTGTCCTGCTGGGAAATTATCGATACGCGCTGAAGGTTGCATTGAGAATATTCGACCCGTGACTTTCACCGATAAACTCCCGAACAACTAACTACAGGTCGATCGATCAAGTTTCCCTGATATCAAATTTTTCTACACGATGCTATTAAGTAATGAGTGACATCATGATGCACCGTTTTATCTAACGTAAATTACTGAGTAAAAATTAAACGACAATTATAACGATTGAATATTCGAAATCAAATGCACTCGATCTTAAAGCAAAGCTTCGCAATTATTTCATTTTCCAGGTCTCATTACACGACGTTTCTAAAGACATCATGTAATAAGTGGTAGCTTGCAGGTGCATTAATACGAGGTCCGCGAACTCTAAAGACGTGGGAGAAAACTCCAAATATGCTCAGTAACAATCCCTCTGTGCGGGCGCGCAAGTTATGTCGCGTCGCAGCAGGCGACGTAACGGGATGTTACGACTCACAGACTCTGTACGGATAATTGCTGTTGTGAACGGTTATGCCTCCGTGCATAACCGTACCGAGAAATTCGAACCACGAGGTCGACAATTTACACGCTGAACTGCATTAGTTACGGGCGGAACAGTTTCCTTTTTTGATTGATCATAAGTTTGCAAGAGGTGAGTTCGAGGGCGCGAGCATTTTGGGTTGCGGTTCTAAATCGGTGGTCGCAACATTGAATAATGAGGATGACACGTTCATAACTACAAAACAATTACGTTTATCAACAAGCAGACCGTATATGCTGCGCAAGTATAACTTATGATTAACTAAAGTTATTACATAATCTCACTCTCTCTCCGTGCCAATATTATCTACTATCGCGCCTCGCTGACGTTGTGTGTGTGTGTGTGTGTGTGTGTGTGTGTGTGTGTGTGTGTGTGTGTGTGTGTGCGTGTGTGGTATATAATTATATATATATTGTGATGTGTGTGTGTGTGTGTGTGGTGTGGTGTGTGTGTGTGTGTGTGTGCTGGTGGGGGTGTAATCATATATGTGTGTTGTGTGTGTGTGTGTGTGTGTGGTGTGTGTGTGTGTGTGTGTGGTGTGTTGTGTGTTGTGTGTGTGTGTGTCATGCATGTTTGTGTGTCTATCCGCGTGCGTGGCGAGCAATGCGTACACGTATAATATATATATAATATATATATATATATATATATATTACGGGACATATGTGAGGAAAGAGGCCTGGACAGCCTCGTACGGAAGTAGCAGCTCAACTGAGGTAGCCACCGGGATTTTAGCTTGATGTTTGTTGTTGCCCTATAAATGTATATATCAAAAAGTGTTCGGTTAAGAAATTTGCTACATCGAAGTATAGCAATGAAGCGACTAAGTTTCGACTTGTGGTAGTCTTCGTCAGGTTATTGCTAACTCCTATTTACGGGCTGAAAAAACTGTGTTCTTCAGGCGTGTCTTCTCGCTCCCTTAAAATATAACCCTAGTGTCCTGTATAAGAGGGGGCGCCAATAGGGGCGCCGAGGGAGGC